AGTAGTAGTAGCAGAAGAAGAAGAAGCAGTAGTAGCTGTAGCAGCCGTAGCAGTACCAGTAGCTGTTGCTGGAGCTGCTGCTGCAGCTACAGCAGTAGCAGTCGCCTTAGCAGCAGTCGTAGTCGTAGTCGTAGTCGTAGTCGTGGTCGTAGCCGTAGCCGTAGCCGTAGCCGTAGACGTAGCCGTAGCCGTGGTCGTGGTCGTGGTCGTGGTCGTGGTCGTGGTCGTAGTCGTCGTAGCCGTAGTCGTGGTCGTAGTCGGAGTCGTAGTCGCGGTCGTAGTCGTAGTCGTAGTCGTAGGCGTAGGCGTAGTCGTAGTAGTAGTAGTAGTAGTAGTAGTAGTAGTAGTACTAGTAGTAATAATAATGATAATGACAACAGCAACAGCAACAGCAACAGCAACAGCAGCTGCTGCGTGTCGTTGCTGCTGTTGTTGTTGCTGCTGCTGGTGTTGAGCAGTGGCGTAGTTGGTGGTGGTGGTGGTGGTGGTGGTGGCGGTGGTGGTGGCGGTCCCGACCGATGGTCGTAGTCATCGTCGTAGTAAGCTTGTCTGACTCACCGTCTTTGCCGTTGCCGTCGGAGCAGTTAGCAACAGTAACGAATATCTGAATGATGATTTTTTGTACACGAAGTACGCCGATGCGCAGTGGCACTGCAGGATGTGCAGATTTGTATATTGCTAGCCGTAGCGGGCCCTAGCACCAGTTGCCGGTGCAACTCACGCTGCACTTTGTGGGTGTTAAAGAGTCACGCGAAACCTTTTCAGGGAAAACCTTACGTTGCATACCCCTGCAACTCCTACCCCGTGTCCTTTCGGATCTTCTGCCTGTGCAGATGTCCTGTCGGAATCGGTCAATAGTCGCAGCGGGTAGCAGTGATCAAATTAACCAAACAACATGATCCAACACTGACGGCCGAAAGGCAAAACCCTGAAAAGCCCAGGTCCCGCGCCCAAACCCGAAAGCCCAGGAATGGCTCGAGATGTCACCAGATGGCCTCGGTACCATCCCGCCGCGCCGGATGCCTCCTCCTGAGCGGATGAATGGCTTTGTCACGTGTGTTGCTGTGCCTTCATAGTTTCCTGAGTGCGGCATCGGGCTGCAAACCCTCATACCTAAACCCAGACTCTGTAAGGCTAAAAGTTGAGAGTCTGCATCGGATTTTAAAATATTCCTTTTTTTGCGGCTGCAAGGCTTCTTGCTGCTTCTTGAAATTAGACACCACTGAAACTGGATGAAGGAGCCATGTAAAAAAGCGACGAGGTTGGAGGCGACACGTGTAAGCCACTGGACATCAGCGCTTTCCAGCCATCCCGGTTTGGGGTTTCGGGTTTGATGCGTTCAACTAGTCATGTTGCCATAGCAAACACTGATAGGAAAAGGCCACATGGGTAAACACACATCAAAACGGAGCAGGATAATGACCAGAATCAAGGTGACAGTTTTCGGTGTTGCACAAGAAAAGAACGCGCAGAGGCAACAATAAGGAGACAAAGAAGAACACAGACAGTGTCAAGAAGCAAAACAAACTTTACATTTTTCGTTGTCATCAAATCCACTATCATCAAAATCATCCACGGTCATCATCATCATCGCCACCATCATCATCATGGCTAGCTATACGTACAAGTTACAAATTTACCGTGCATGCCATCATTAGGTATGCAACGGCATTCCTGAAAAGTTCAAGACGAGTACTCCGCTACTATATGCATACGAAGAACAATAAACACAACCGCGGCAGGAAGGAACACAAGATTCACCACACATGGATTCTGATGGCAATAATCAATAATCACGATAATAATGGCATTCCAATAGTACACAGACTCACGGTCAGGGCACCTCGGTGATGGAGGTGTGGTCCAAGGACTTCAGCTGCGGCAGACAGCCAAGGATGAAGCACCCTCGGTGGGTAGAGCGAGTTGCAAGTGTGGTGAACCATGGGAGTGCACCACAAATGGCAGGCTACGTTAGGCTTACAGGCTATGACTTAAAGAACGATAAAGTTACGTAAACATGGTTCTGGGTCTAACACTTCTGGGTTTTCGGGTTTAGGGAAGTTAGGGTATCGCGCTTTTCTACCCCCGATAAGGTTTTATTGATCCTCCCACGATCTTTTACAGGCCAGTTGTCGACGGTGCGCAACAATGGAACATTCTGCGGTTGCAGTTCCCGGGCAGCAATCCTACGTTCCTGCGGCCCCCGCTACCTGCTACAGGGGAGGGGCGGGGGACGCAGGAGCCATCGCGGAGATCGAAGAAAAGCTTACCGGGCCCATTGCGGATTTTGAGGCATCTCGCACACCCGCCCCAGTGTTGCCCGCGCCGGCCGAGGGTGGTCCCGCCGGGCGTCTTTCGAACCCGCCTAAAAAAGTTGCCGTGCTTTTGTTCGGCTCGTTTTGAACCCCGCTGCCTGTGCAAGTTTTGCTGAACACCTCTCCTCCCGTTACAGATCTGAGACAATTCGGCCAGGAAGTCTGGAAAGCCACTGAGAAACTCAAGCGGCACAGCAGCGTCGTAAAACGCTCACGCACAGTTTTTCACTGACATCGCCTGAGGTCTGCTAACTGCGTGCCATAGCTAAAGGGGCCCCTCGAGAGGAAACAGCATTCACGAGCGAGTGCATTCCAGAAGGAGCAACAGCTATGCATTTCACAGCTCCCCGGAATTCGCTTCTGGAAAGCACTGTACATGCTAGCGACGATTGTATCCTCGCTGCTCTCGTTCCTCTTTCTTTTCTTGCAGGGCCTTTGCCATTTCCACTATCTGGTACTCTCCTGTGTCCAAGAGCTGGTAGAGCGAGTCCATGTTCGCGTTCTTCTTTGTCAAGCCGTCAATGGCCATCTGTGGATGCGGCACCCATTTGATCTTCCCGTTGATGGCATTCATGTTTTGTCGGATCACCTGAATTTCCAGGCTTGTACGCTTATCTTGAGAAGGTCCGACACTTTCACGGGACAAGTGGTCGTACAGGGCCTTGGCGTCCACAATGCACAGAGCCTCCTTGAAGTCCTTGGTCGACTCGTCGGACACCATGGCCATCACCTTGTTTTTGGAAATCCTAGACTCCCACTGCTCGATCGTGAAGTCGGGGTCCATCACCTCGTTATACGCAGACATGATCCAACAAAGCTCTCCCAGTCCTTTGGACAAACTCTGAGTCTCTGCTGCAAGCGTGGAGTTCACAACTCTTTGAATCCTCCCACTCCTCCATGTGATCAGGGAGCAGGGAACTCTGAAGCCTTTCTGCAGGTCCTCATGGAACGCGATCACGCCAAAAGCTCCTTGGCTCCTTCCATCACCCGCGTTGTCGAAGGACGCATCTGTTATGACTCCCCACGCGAGACACTCGGGCTTGATAGGCCTGATTTTGATGCTCAAGTCGGGACGGGCTTTTATCATCTTCACCGCTTTATTCATATCGATCAAATCCTCGATGATCGGCTTGGGAAACTTTGATGAGCTCAAAGAGGCTGCTGCAGCGGCATCTGGTCTTCCTTCCCGTGAAGCCCAATTGAGACTCCCGACGACCGCTCTGGCCTGAGCAATCTCTGACTCATTCGCCAACGCCTTCGGCCGGCTCTTTCTGCCCTTCGCGAACTGTATCGGCTCCAACCGTTCCGTGACAAACTTCATCATGTCGACGACGAACCCATAGTCATCAAGTTGTTTGATTCTGCGGCCGTTGAATCCCACTCCGCTTTCGTTGCCGCGAAGCATTTCGAATTTACCAAACTTGTACTTCAGCTTGAGCTCGTCCATCTTTTTGTAGTGGAGGTCACTTCCGAAGTTGAACAGATCGTCAACTTCCACCGCTATTGCGCCTTGGAGCTTGCACTCGTCATGAAGAAGATACACAGTGGGGTCGAGAACACTTTCCCGATATCCGAGAGCGAGACTGCTCTCCTTGAGTGACCGACGCCAATGCATAGGAGCGTCAGGAAGTCCATAGCATCCTGCAATGATCTGTATCAACTGCTCTTCATGGAGTCCCTCGATTCCGCCCTTTGGTTGCATAGCGTAGAGAGCACCTTCAGCTCGTTTTAGTGGCAAGCTCTGACAAAATGCATTCTTCAAGTCTCCAACACTCGCGGCGTATCCCATCGAAGCACAAGCTTGAAGTAGCACTCCAAACGTGGTTGAGCACAGGGTTGGAGAAAATCTTTCAAGGGACAGAAGATCAGGGTCCTTGTCCCCTCTGATGCACCAACGAGATTTCCGCACATCGGGCTCGCCAGGTTGTTCGGCTGGTTTCATCCTTCTCACCATTCTGGATGGTAAGATTCGCTCCAGCTTGCCCTCGGCTTCCAGCTTCGCTCGGACTTCTCTTGATTCTTTCACATCTAACACCCGAACGGCTCCTGTGGAAACCACTTTTGACCATTCTTGAAGGTCTGTTTCTCGCCAACCTGGCCTGTCCTCCGCCTTGATCTCGTGGTCGAAGATTTCTCCTTGTCCTCGCGGTTTTCCTCCAGTCCAACTGCATCCGACCTTGGAGTTCTTCTTCCCAGCACGCACCCAGTTGTCTTGGAAGGTCTGCACGTTGCCCAGCTCGTCGATGGCATAGGTGCTCCGATACTTGAGCCTCCTAGGCATCAGTGCTCCTTTGACCTTGTTGGGATCACATAGTTCATCTCGAGGTTCCACATGATGTCGAACGATCAGCTCCTTGCTCGTTTCTTCCCAACAGTCTTTTTCCCAGATCCATCCATTCTCATCTAGTGAGAACCACGCCTTGCCGTCGTCGAAGCCTTGCTTCTGTACGAAGTACGGTCGTTGAACTTGTGGTCGATAACGATTGAGTCTTCTCGCAGCTTCGTAGGGCGGGCTTCCAGGAAAATTGCCATCGAGGCGCTCATTTCTCATCACTTGTGCTGCCGTTCCAACTGGATTAGCAACTATTGGAGCTTGTGGTACTTGAGGTTGGGGCGCTTGAGGTTGTGGTTCTTGAAGTTCTGGTGCTCTGGAACCCAATGAAGTATGTCGCGTCACGCTCTCTGGGGGCGTAGGAAGAGGCTCGGGTTCTCGCACTGAAACCTGTCTTTCCAGTGATCCACGCATTCTGAGCTCATCCAGCGCTCCTTCCAGTCCAGCTGGGGTCCTGAGCGCCTCTTCAACTTCATCCGGAACTTCTCCAGGAGGAACTGGTACCTGAGCAGGATCTTCCAGTCGAGGTCGCTGTGGTTGAGGTTCGGGTACCCAGTCTTGCCCTGCCTGAACAGACTGATCATCAGCAGGTTCGATTTCAGGCACTTCGTCCTCCGTCATGTCCTTGTAGGACCTCTTTGTGCTCGCACGTCCAAGCTCTAGCGCTTCAAGCTCTCCAGCCAACATTTCTTTTGCGAATTGCTCTTCACTCGTTGCCGGGCGGCACTGCTCTATGCTGACTTTCCAAAGTTCGCCTTTCATCGAAACCCACAAATTGGGGCCTTCGATCGCTAGCACGATCCCTGGGCCGACCCACATAGGTTTGCGGCTCTCGTGGCTTTCTGGGGTCATGGCATGTTTCCGCTTCCTCTCCTTAGGCTGCCGAAAAACATACACCGTCTCTCCCACCACGAAGTTCAGCGGCCTGCGGGTTCTCGCGTTCTTGGCCTTGGTGACTGCGATCTCTGTTTGAGTCTTCATGTAAGCCTCCTGAGCATGCTGTCTTATCTCGAGCAGTCTTCTCATCTCATCCCCGGCACTCTGCACAATCATGGTTGGGTCGATGGAGTCGTCTGAAAGCAGAGATCCTGGCAGTCGTAGCGAATGTCCAATCTGCCTTTGCATAGGCGAGAATCCGCTTCGGTTCCCATACCTGTTTTTGGCTGCCTCCACTTCCAACATGAGACTCTTGAGTTCTTCCCAGGAGCTTATCTGTGCCGTGTCGCGGGCCTTCTCCAGGATTGCCTTGTAGTGTGCTCCCGCTCGCTCAGTCTTCCCAGCTTGCCAAGGTGAACGAGCGCCCGTGTGTCTCACTAGCGCTCCCGCTTGCGCGGCTTGATCTGCAAACACGCCTCTGAACTCAGTTCCGAGGTCTGGGATGATGATTTCCGGAATGCCAAAGGTGCGTCCCCAAACTCGAAGGAACGTGCGCCAGGTGTGGTCTGCCTCAACGCTTCGGAGACGCTCAACCATCTGGTATCCAGTTCCCCAGTCACATATGTTCAAGCACGGGAAGCTATCTCGAGGATCTAGAGCTCGGAGGTAGATCACATCCACTCCCACAACTCGGCCGGGTTCGTAGGACCTTGGTAACACTGCTGGTCGGGCTGACTTTGGCTTGGGCCTTGCCTCACACACTTCACATCGGAATTCTCTGGCCATATAGCGAACGATGTGTGGCTTTGCCCGTGCTAGCTTCAAGGATCTAGCTAGCTCTTTCGCTCCCGGGTGGCCCAGATTTTGGTGTAGCTTGTGCAACAGCCTGAGCTCCTCGTTGGTAGGACGCATATTCTCATCTGCATGCGGTTGAGCTCGTCGAGGAACGTCTTCTTGACGTTCATCCATCTCATACTCCTCGACAAACACTTTGCTGCACTTCTCCTCGGTTCTACGTTCTGAGCCGTCATACATGACATAGATGCGGTCTCGTGGCAGCTCGAATCCAAGCTGTCTCAGCCGTTTCATCTCCGCTTCGTCCACCTCATCGAAGCCTCTAGAGGTATAGGCACTGATGACATACCTGCATCCGGTCCAGCTTTGTGAGCCATGCCACTTCTTGGGGTCGAACTCACACATCTTATTCTTGATGTTCAGATTCCGAACTTGGATCTTCTCTCCTCCAGGTAGAACTTTATGCGTCTTCGCGCACGACTCGTCTTGCACCCAAACTTCTCCGTTCTGGTATTTGCCGAGTCCCAACACATAGTTCCGAGAGCCCGTTCTGTTGTTGACATCTCGATGAGGTAGAGATCCGGCATTTAACCCCAGCGCAAAGGTGGTCCACGTAGGCTTCTCTTGAAACCTTCCATTGCTTTGAAACCTGAGAAGTTCGTTGATATAGACGACAAAGTTCGGCATTTCGGCTGATCTGTTTGTCAGCCCATACTGGTTGCCATACGCATAAAGTCCGAAAACCACGTACTGCCCGTTGTCCACTGAGGCTCGCTGTTTGAACTTATTCTGCGGGAAGTGGTTGAGGATCTTTTCTAGGGACCATAGGGAGTAGTCCTTCTGCTCCAACATGATCTTTGCTCGCTCTTCGACCCACTGAACTTGATCAGACGTCAAGAAGGACCCACCGTGCTGACTCTCTTGGTTGAAAAAGGACCCACCGCGCTGACTCTCATCAACATAAAATTTTGACCCCTGGTGCGCCTCCTGATTCTGATGGAAGCAACTGACTTCGTCCTGGTGCGCCTCCTGATTCTGATGGGAGCAACTGACTTCGTCCTGGTGCGCCTCCTGATTCTGATGGAAGCAACTGACTTCGTCCTGGTGCGCCTCCTGATTCTGATGGAAGCAATTGACTTCGTCCTGGTGCGCCTTGTGATTCTGAGGGAAGCAATTGACTTCGTTCTGGTGCGCCTCGTGATTCTGAGGGAAGTCAAACACCTCCTCGAGCATCTTGTGGTCGTTGCTCACGTAAACCACGTTCTCCCTGACTGTGCACACCCAGTCCTGTTCCTCCTTGATTGCCTCCACGTAATCCAACTTGGTTCCCGCATCGCACAACATGACGAACGACCTCCCATTCGAAGCCTGCCACTCCGCAACATCGCGAGCAAGCACATTGGACTCGTCACTTTGACTTGGAAAAAGCGTAAGCCGTCTCGGAGAGCTTTTCCTCAAGGAGTCCCATAGTGAAGATTGACAAGACGGATCCAAAGTGGCCATCGCCTCGTCTGAACATTGAAAAACACTCACGTCAAACTCTGGTGAAACTAGCTTCCACACCACATCATCCTTGTTCTCCACGTTGAGGTCGGTCAATGCCTGGAGAGATCGGCTGATCTTTTTGCCTTGGCCGTGCGTCAGCGCCTTGCCTCTGCCTTGATCCAGGCTCCACATAGCCATCTCGTTCTTGTCTTCAAAGCAGATCAGGGCAGTCTGTGAGGGCTTCAAGGACCTTGGCACCCAGCCGTTTTGTTCTCTCCACATTTCTGCTTCTGAATCCCAAAGGAAAAACGACCTTGACACTGGCATACTCCATGGTGTGGATGCCCTAGAAGAGCAAAATGCTCTCATCTGCAATCGCCTGGCCGTAAACAACTGCGTCCCGGAACTTAAAAGACTGACTTGTTCCGGCTCCAAACCATCTGGCAGTCCCTTCAGACTGAAGGGTCGGACACCAAACTGAAGCCGTCCGATCCCGCCGCCGCCTGGTTGTTCTGAACCTGGGCGAGAAACCCTTGCATCCAAGCCATCTGAGCCTTCAACTCTGAGATCTCCTTCTGGTGCTGGCTCGACTGGGCCTCCATTTGGTTCTGGTAGTTTTGGCTCATTTGCTCGGTCTGAGCCTTCATCACCTGCTGCATTTCGAATGCCTGCTGGTTCACATGATCCTCGGCCTGACTCTGCATCTTGAGGATCTCCTCCTGCAGCTTCTCGGCGTTCTGGTCCTCGACATCCATCTGGTTCTTCTTCTCCAGCTGCTCCATGGTGTCCCACTGGAAGAATTCGCACACTCTTTCGCGGCATCGATAGAAGTGGCGACCGTAGGTTGGTCCTCGCTTCTTTACTTCCCAGCGGTGTGCTGGTTTTCCGCATTGGCACTTCACCATCTCTTCCATGGGTCCCATGCTCCGAATTGACGCAGTCGAGGTCGGCGTCGCCAGACACCTTCGAGCCTCCTTCCGGACCCTCAGCTCCTCCGGGGCAAGGTATTCCCACCTCGCCTTGCACAGGTTGCAGTAGATCTCCCGTCGGTATTGATTCCCGGCACCCTTCAACTCCCTCATCGGATGCGTACACTCTGACATCAGGGAAACCGGTTTCTCCTTGCTCTGACGGGTACCGAGGAAGTCCACAAACTTTATCACCTCCGCATACTCCAGCTGGGTGTCCTCCACTTTGGCCTTCACAGGAGTAGTGGGCGCGCTTGGGGTAGAAGGAGATGGGGCCTCCTGCAACGGCTTGAAACCCCAGTGCGGCCACAAGGAATCTGGAAGCCAAGCTTGAACTCTTGTTCGCATGTTTAGCAGCGTCATCAAGTCTGCCAGCCTTTCTCCCAAAAGCCTCCAACGTCGAACTGCTCTTCGGCTCCTGGCCATCCCCGCCGGAAGCCTGCCTCTGGGACGATTGTCCTCCTCCCGCTGCGCAAGCATCCGCTCCAGAAGAAGCGACGCCATGCTCGGAAGATGCGGAAGAGGGGAGGTTCGCGACACTCTCGAGTGCAATCATGCTGTGGTTCAAGAAGCCGCTGCTGGCAAGAGTGAATTGCTCATGCTGCAAACGTGAACTCATGGCTTCACTTGGAATCTTCCAACCTCCTGGCGCAAACTCGGTCACTCCAACTGAAACATGTCCCGATGGTAGATGCATCAGAGGGGCCTTGACATCGTAAGCCTTGAGCTCCAAAATGTTCTGGTTGAGGTCCACAATCGCCTTCAACTGCTTAAGTAGTTTGATCGGAAGAAGCAGAGGAACATCGTCTGCGATCACTGTCAATTCCATCAAACCATTGACACCAGCTATGCCCAAAGGCACCTCCACGATACCGATCACTTCAGCTTTGCCCCCCACACCACATGCTTGTGCTCTTGTGGTCTTATTCCAGTTCACCCTGAGACCATGATCACGCAAACTGCCTATGAGCCTGAGCAATGCCGCCTTGCCAATGAGGCCGTCTTGGGCCGCCGTGTCGACCACTCCCTGCGTCGGGCACGTAACAACACCGGCAAAGCTGACAGGGGGCTCGTTGTTGGCACTCTCGGTCTCCGTCAGAACATCTACATCTTTTCGGCTTGTTACACTGCGAATAAACTTCCCAAAAGTGGGCATGGAGGACATGAGGCTCATGCTGAAGCTGCCCTCGGTGTTTTCCCCGGTCGCTGTAACGAAGGTCTGGGGGCTGGCTTCGCCATCGCTCCGGACAAAGAACCCAGATCTCCCGCTCTGATTGGAGGGAGCAGACGAGTTGCTCCTCATAGCTGCAGCAGCTCTGCCGCGCTCATCGGGAGGGTTCTTGCACTCCTTTGCCCAGTGGCCTATGGCCCCGCATCGTGCACACCTCGTTCTGAGCTTCAGCATGTCCACGTGGATCTTCGTGCCATTCTTTGTGAACTTCACGTAGTCCTTCTCGCGGCCCTTGAAGGCCAAAGTTGGCTTCTGGCCTTTTCCACGGCCCTTACCTTTCCGGTCTGGGGACGATGCGCCTCGTCCGGAGGGTTGTGGATAGTAACCCCGGTTGTTCTTTTGATCCCTCAAGGACTTCCGAACATCCTGGTACGTCGCCAAGGCCTCCTGGACGTGGTCTTCCTCGTAAATCTCCTGCATCTCACCCTCGCCGATGTACACATAGTCCTCGTCGTCGCTGTCCTCATGGGCCTCCACAAAGGTCTCCTGGTTCTCTTCTTCGGGCTCGTGCTCGGGATCCTCGGAGTCATCTAGCAGAAAGGCTGAGTTCTTCTTTCTGCCTTCATGGATATTCTTGTCCAACCTGCGCAGCCCTCGAACAACCGTAGCGCGGTCATACTTCCCCTCACCCCAAGTCAACATCTGGTTCTCCTGGGCCTCGGTGAGATTCGCTCCTCGAAACAAGACGTAGCCCAGAACCACGTCCCCAAGCTTGATGCCTTGCCTTTCGAGCTCCTTGAAGGAGTGTTCCATCCTTATCACAAACTCGCCGAAGGTCTCACGCGAGCTTCTGATGTCGCCGTAGATGGCCTCCTCGAAAGCCCTAGGAAGGGAGGACTCCAGGTGGGGTGCAAAGTGCTCCTTCAAAGCCTTGATAAGGTTGTCTCTTCCGGCCTCACACGCAAGTTCTTCGAAGGACAAGCTTTCCGCTGCGGCTCTAGCAGTTCCAGAGAGTTGTCGTAGGATCTTCACTCCCCACTTGTCTTTCGGAATCTCTGTTTCGAACTCCCAGAGACGCAACTCTTTCATCCACCTGTCGAACGTCTTATCCGGCAGCTTGCCGTCGTAAGGAGGAGGTGGGTCTCGATCCTTCCAGCCTCCATTGCCATGCGACAAGGTGGGTACTGGCGCCTCCACAGCCTTAGGAGGCATTGCACTCCTTCAGAAGAAGGTAGTCGCTCTCGATAACACAGGTGGCTCCACCGCACAGTCGCCCGGCGCTCCTGCACAGGCAACGAGCTCTCGCAGAGCTCCGCTACCACCTGAGAAACTCAAGCGGCACAGCAGCGTCGTAAAACGCTCACGCACAGTTTTTCACTGACATCGCCTGAGGTCTGCTAACTGCGTGCCATAGCTAAAGGGGCCCCTCGAGAGGAAACAGCATTCACGAGCGAGTGCATTCCAGAAGAGGCAACAGCTATGCATTTCACAGCCACGCAGGTCCAAAAAAAACCCTCTCGATCTGACCTGCCAGGCCTGACGAGCAACTGCCCGAATAGAGAGCCCTCTGCTGGAAAGGGGTGAGGGCACAGTAAAAGCCACACAGGAGCCAAAAACCGAGGCCTTAACGATGTTTCGCTGTGATACCCATACAGTGCGGACGGATTACTACTGTTGGTATGCTGCCTTTCGCCCCAATCCGGCCCCCTGCAGTTCTTCTAGATGCTCGAGGTGTTCCAATAGTAGTTCTAAAGATTCCAATTATTTCAACAATCTTTTAATTTGGATGATTCGACTAATTCGAAGGAAGTCGATTGCCAGATGGTCTGGCATCAGGAGCTACTCCGAACAGACTCGAAATTATACTATTAGACGTTTTATCTAACCTGCTTAAATTACTTCTCTCATCTAAATTGCTAGATTCTAGATTTTTTGCGGCATCCAACCACCTAGAACTTTGAGTTCTGCAGATTATGTAACTATTTACTTTCTAGCAAGCTTACTCATTTAACTCATCGCCGGGACCGAAGCAAACCCTGAGGCGAGCAAGGCAAAGGAAGGAAGGGAGCAAGGAAGGAAGTAGCGTGGCGGGGGAAAGAGGCAGGCACGCGACCTGGCAGGAGGAGTGGGGGCAGGGAGATTGAGTAGGAGGCTGGGTGGAGAGCAGGGTTGAAAAGGTGTGCTGGGGCTTGAAGAGGCAGGGTTCAGGAGTCGAAAGAACGGTCGGGTTGGAAAAACGGGTTGAGTTCAGGGGTACAAAAAAGAGGGGGAAGGGTTTTCAACAAAACTAAGGGCCCGGGAGTTTAGTGTATGCCTTAATAATTAGAATAGGTTTTTGGGGCCCATTATGCTATAGCTATACTGAAGAACCCCCAAAACAGAATAGGTAATTATTGAGGCCTCTATATTAGCAGAGTCCAGCTCGAAACTTGCAGCGTGAATGTCTGACTCCTTTTGCTCGACTGGGGCCGGCGACTGTAGATCTTTGCTGACTGGATCGGGTTGCCATTCCTTGGCTGAGAAAACCCTGGAGGAGCCAAGACTCATCAACTGTAAACCCTAAACCCTAGCCCTAAGCCCTCTAAGGCCTGAAACCCTACACCCTAAACCCAGGTCCAGCTTCATAGTCAGCGAGATGAGCTTTGGCAGCTTTTTCAAGCGCTCGACCTCGGCTTCAGCGAGACTAGGGTTTCGGGGGCTTTGCTGAAGGCTCCTTGGATCAGTGAAGGCTCGCTGGTGCAGAAAGCGCGACTTGCTGCCGCAACCCTTCTCTCAACTTGGCTCATGGGGCTATGGCAACAACCTGAGCTTTTCCTACGTACCTTCCCCGAAGCCTGTCACCGAATCCATTGCCAACACTTCAGCTTGCAAGCGAAGCACGTCTCCCAGCTTCGAAAGGTTGTTCCCATGAAGGTAGAGAGCCTGCTTGCGGCATGCTTGGGAGCAAACTTCTCAGACAGGAAAAACAACAACAGGGTGCCATGAGGCTATAAGGCTTGCTGCAGGAACAAGTCGTCTGCAACAAAATCTGTTGATGCTGTTCGCAGCAGCTGTTTTGTCCGGACTCACACAGTACTTTAAGACAAGGATGCGCACTAACGCGGCTGAAATTCTAGCGGAACGAAACTGAATCCAACCCTGCG